TTTTTTTTCATTTAGAAACAATTCGAGAAAATGAATTATTTGAATTCGAGCATTTTTGTTTAAATAATATAAACTAAAAGTGTTAACAAAAAAGAAAATCTTTATTGCTATCTTTTATAACATCATCATATTTTGCATTTCAAATATAAATTTTGTTTTTCCTTACAGGTTTATTAAAAATATTATTCCTAAAAAATTTAGTAAATGATTTCCGCACAGTAACACAAAGAGTGTTTTTGCATATCATTTCAAAACTAATTCATTGCCTGAATTACAATGTTACCTGAACAAGGAATGACGTAAAATTTGAAAATGAATTATTATAAGAATGGTGATGAGATGTAATTATTTAACAGAATAGATTTAATTTCATTAAAAAAAAAAATTTTAATTGCTCTTCATAAATTGCCGTAAACAAAGTTGAATGATTTTGAAGAGGCGTTATACACGCCTGTTAAATGTCAATCATGTCGGCAAATTTTCGTCTATATATTTCTCATCACAATATTTGAATGATAATTATCCCTCCCTTTGATCATTTCAAAAATCCCTCCTTCTTTCCTAATCATTATTAACCTAACATTATCTCATCTCTATTATTATCATTTATCTTGTCTCGATTGCTATCATTCTGGAATTATTCACTGAGAAAATGATAGTATATGTTACTTAAAAATTTTTCTTAATTTTATATGCTATGAGATTCATTCTAACTTAACTCATAGTCCCAAACTCCCAGGAGACAATCTTTCATTTTAATTCTTCACCATTAGCACAATCCATTAATGTTATTTATTTTATTTAAGCAAATAAAGCTACATTTGTTGATGATTTGCATCACTAAGTTAAAATTAATTTTTTCCCAATATTTTATTGGTACGGGTTCTATCTATTAATATAATTATTGAAAAATGCCTGAAAGAAGATTTTTTAATAATTCAAAATAAGGTTTTTTTTTGGAGAATAAGAGAAAATTTATAAATAATATTGCATGAAATAT